TTGCCATAATTATTGTCTGGACAATTAAATCTAATATTTATAGCTATCTAAGTGGCGCAGTGAAAGTCGAAACCACGCTCTGCTACACACAATTTTTGTTTTTTTTTTAAATTTTTTAAAATAATTTTTGAAGCATACATTTTTTAGTAATTGTATCAGACATTGTCCCTCACTGGTATAATTCAATGTAGATGTAAAATAAATTTAAAAAAATAATGCACTGACTCAATGAAACTATTACACAATTTTTAATAAAATATTGTTTTTCGATTAAATAAGTTATAAAAAATAACTTGATTAATTAAAAATACTATCATAAAATCTTACTCTTTTATTGTGTAATAGTTTTTGTTTACCCGTTAAGTCAATGCATTATTTAAAAAAAAATATTTTACATTTACATTGAATTATACCAGTAATGGACAACGTCTGATTGGTATTATTATAAATAATTATTACGAACTCCTGAAAGGAGTACTTATCTGCATTCTATAAGTCTGTCTGTCTGTCTGTCGGTCTAATTTTGAGTTTATTTTGTCAAACAGTCATTTGATCTTATAGTTACTTAAGTAATTTATAATTTAATATTTAATTTGGATAAGGAGTCCGTATGGAAATGCTTTCTAGCATTCTCAATTGGTTTGAAAATAATTTCACAAAATTTGAAATGAATTACATTTTAAAGATATATATATATAATACTGCATTTATTCTTTGTTTATTAAAAATGTTTTAAACTAAATATTAATAATTATATACTGTATTAATATTACATAAAATACAAAAGACAATGAAAATATTTTTAAATAAAATTTTAAATAATAATAATAATGTTTATTATATAGTATTTTCGCATAAGTTGAAAACAACAGAAATACATGAAATCAATAAAAATTACTTTTTTGCTTAAAAATTAATATATTTGGGTGTTTGGGTGTAAGTATATTTTGTATGTATGATATATTACAATCCCATTGTTAATATTACATTAAATGTGCGTTTAAAAAGAATATTAAGAGATAAAAACATAATTTAATTTTCAAACTTAAAATTACTATTAAACCTAAAATTAAAAATATATTTCAAATATTTTCTGAATAGTAGTCATGACTTATAAAATATGTTGAGATTAATCCAAAAAATATGGTTCACTCCCGAAATTTATTAAACTATTTTTGTTTTCACTATTTAGTTTCAAATAATTTTGCCAAATAATATTTTTATTATTAATAATAAAAATTTTATTTTATTTGTCGCAAAAATATAAAAGTTATGATACTCTTTCATTTTTGTGTCTATAAAAACCTATAGAAAATTTAAACATTCATTAATTACTATTACAGTGGAATTTAAAATAAGACAGTTATTTATTTATAACCAGTTGAGAATGCTAGATAGCATATTAATAAACAAAATTTTAGTGTATAATTAATCATTAGTGTACAGTATTTTACATTATTTCTACAAATATATTTTATATTTTATACTTTCATCTTTTACTATATTACAATCTAAAGTCAAAACATTGAAATTGCAAAAAAATTTACAAACAGACAAATAGATTCTAATAAAAAACTTTCGAAGTTTACTGAAAATATTTTTCAAACAACTTTTTAATCCATAATATGTTAAACATTTACTCAGACATATCGTTAAATAAATTTAAAATAATTTATTCAATTCTAGGAATTCAAGTTTGGAGTAAATATTTACTTTTATATTTAAAAGATATTATGTTTGCCTTATAAATTCAATTATATTAAAAATAAAATTTAAAACTATAATTATTGAAATTCAATGAAATGATTGGTGTATTAGCACTTTGTGTAAAATCTATTTGTTTGCTAAAACAATATCAATGATTAATTTTAAATTTAAATTTAAACTTCAATTGATCTTAAGTGAGTCATCAATGGACAGTCATATCAGTGTTTGATATCAATACTAATATAATTTAACAAAACATAATAATTCATTCAATTATTAAGTTTTATGAGTTGTAAGTTTTAAATAAAAAGTTTATTATAATAATTCCTGTTTCACAAAACATTAACTATACTCTCAAAGTAAAAGTAAATAAACATTAACTAATATTATAACATAATAAAACATTTGAAAAATGCTAAACAAAGTTTTTAAATATTTAAATATCGAATTATTCAAAATATTATTTAATTAAATGTCAATACATTGCATTTTAAATTTTTCAAATGATATTTATTTTAAATAATAATCATAATCAACAAAATAACACTGATTTATAATAAATATATTATGTAATTATAATATTTATAAACTATTAGTATAAATAAAATATTATAAATGTATGTAATCAAAACATACTCTATCTTTTAAATCATAATTAATAAAAACCAGAAATAATTAAATTAAAAAATAAAATTTGTAAACACGTATATATATAAAATCGTTTTCAAAAGTGCTTGACACGGTTTTTTGGCTATAACTTTTAAAGTTAAACTGTTAAAGAAATATAATTTTTTTGGTACTATGGAACGGATATCATGCCATTAGCACATTTTTTATATCGAAGCTCAGGGATGTGGGGACAGGGATGTTCTATATCTCAAAAACTATAAGAGATATAGAAATTTAATAAAAAGCATAAAATACTAAATATAAAATCATTAGATACGTGTTTTGGGAATTTTCTGAAAAATGTGTTAAAATTCGAATAAAAAAAGATAAACGTCAAAATTGCAATATTTCAATATGGCGTATATTAAAAGTATCTTGGTATATTGTTATGAAATTAATTTTATTTTATATTATATTTTATAGGTAATAATTATTCTATTTACAACATTTAATTATTATCTTCAGTTTTTAAGATATTTAATAAAAACTTTTTTCACATTATATAGAAAATACTTATAAATATGATTATTGTATTTTAAACTGCGAAATTATATAATGTGAAAAATGTTTTTCCCACATCCCGGAGCTTCAATATAAAAATGTGCTAATACCAAAATATCCGTTCCATGATTCTATAGTACCAAAAAAATTATATTTCTTTAACAGTCTAACTTTAAAATTTATAGCCAAAAAACCGTGTCAAGCACTTTTGAAAACGATTTTATATTGATTAAATGTAGTTTAAATGCAATATAACTTATTTGTTAAGTGAATAAATAAATTGCATTCAAAAAGTAAAACTAAAGATCTTTTGGTCAATTCGTTAATACTTTTATCGTATTTATTGAAAATCGTAATATTTATGTTACATATTATTTAAGTCATTGAAATATTAAAATTATACGCAAACTTTATATAATAAATCTAAAAACTATTTTATAAATAGTTTTTTATTTTATTTTTAACAAATCAGAATATTATTACATTAATATATTATTTCAGTTATATAAATGTTTTTAAATTTTAAGCCAGTTTTTAAAAAAAGAACTAAACCCTAGTTGTATTAATAAATATAAAAATTATATAAAAAGATTAGTATATTATAGTGGAATAATTCATGTGTTATTTGTCAAAATAGTTAAGTATATAAAAAATCAATTTCTGTTTTATTCAAATATTGCTAAAAATTTTAAATATAATTTTATAATAAATTGTTAATATAATAAAAATTCTGTACAAATATATTGAATAGAAAAATTAATCAATTAATCAGAAATTATTGAATGACATACAAAAAAACATTTATGATTATTATAATAAAAGCGTTTTTGTAAATCTTCTTCAAATAAGCCCTTAAAAAGGATTTGCATTAAGTCATGTGTTCACAAGATTTTTATAAAATATCATATTTTTTACTTTATTTCAAGTGTTGGTAAAATACTTTAAATATATGGAAAACATTCAAGAAATTTTCAAACAAAAATCATTAAAATTTAATAATTCATAAAAGATTAAACATTTTATATCAATTTGCTTTCAAAATTGGTATAAATTTACAGACAATAATACAAATAATATCAGAATTATTATTTACTAAAAATTAAAATATTAATTAGATATATGAAAAATACATAAATTTTTAATATATATATATATATAGTATTTTAAAATATTTGATCACTTAATTTAGTTTATGATTAAAAATTTTATAATATCTATAACTGCCATTTCTTTAAGTAATTTTATATTCATTTTACTTTTTTATTTTATGTTTATGTAAAATACAACAATTAAAATCAGTTGAGAATTCTGACAAATCTGTGTCTGAGAATATGACATTTTTTGCTGCATTTGATGTTTAAACAAATCTTAAATTAAAAAATTTGCTAAATATTTTTTGTACTTTAGCTGCCATTTTGTTTGTGGATAAAAATTTAAACGCTGATCCCATATACCTTATTCTTGTTTCTTTATCCGTATCTGAAATCAAAATTGGAAAAATTTTGTGTAACAGACCGACAGACATATAGAATTCAGATACGTATTCCTTTGAGGAGTTCGTGAATAATCATAAGTTTAATATATAAATTGACGCTTTTGTGTTATTTGATTATAATTGGCAAACATTAGAGAATATTTTACAGAAAATTTCTATCAAATTTGCAAAATATACTGAAATATACTGAACACACAATTTATTCATCAATTCAATGTACACTTGATATGAATGACGCAAATGTTGACGCAATTGCTGTCTGTGTTGACCTGTTTTTAGGTGTACTTCACTAATAATAGAGATCCCGGTTCTGGTGCTTATAATGTGTATTATATTATAAATGAAACTCAAATCGATTGTCAAATAATATGAAATAAATTCTTTAAATGTATTTTAAGAATACAGAGAGCATTGCAATCGCTGTTATATGACATTAAAATTATAATTTAATGCTTTAAATACAGCATAATATATGATATATTTTTTGGTTTTATATTTAAATAACGATTCATTTGATGCAAATGAAAGAATATATGAATGAATGAAAGTATTTATGCAAATATTAGCAGTTTTTTAGATATTAAGAAATATTCAAAGTTTTGACGTCAAATAACTGGACTTTACTTACGATTCTCCGCTACCAATGGATGAATGTCTTGACGCAGACTTCGGTGAGATCTCAAACTCACTGTCGGAACGGTAGAGAAAGGACTCCCTCCGCGCCGGCATATTCTGCAACACGACTCCCGATGACGGACTCGAAGCCTCCAATAGATTACGATTTGCTGACCCACTGTCGTCCACATCGAAACTATTCATTTAATTAATATTTTTAATTAAATACTTAAATCATTGTTAACAAAAAAAAATTTCAATTGTAATATTTATTCAGCAAATAAATAATAAATATATTAATTTATATGATAAGTATTTTTCTGATTCTGAAACTCTATGTATTAAAAGTTACCATTTATGTAATCAATCAATGAAATTAAAGTAAACACATATATATTAATATAATAAGTAAAATTATAATAATTGTTTGTTTAAATATTTTGCTTTAAGTAATAATTAATTAAAATTATATATAGAGTATTAAATATAATTATCTTACATAATGTACAGAGATTTTAAAAGTTGTTACACTAATTAAATAAAACACAACAAAAAAATATTTTGCATAACCTTTTAACTCCAATTATGTAATAAATAAAAAATTCTTATAAAAAATTTTACGAAATATTCAATCTATAATAAACATTCAGTAAAAACAAATTTCTATACTATTTTTTATTTAATGTATATAATATATGTGATAATAAAATAAAAAAATCAATAAACATATGACGCAAGCAATTTTTGTATTTGAATTAAAAAAAATACAATGACATATATTGTAAATTGTGTACAATTTGACCTGACTAAATATATCATTTATAAAATAATCTAGTTAATCAAATAATCAAACTTGTTATATCAAAAAATAAAACACAAATTATTCTTTTAACTTGAAAAAAAATTAAAAAATTAATATAATATATATTTTATTACAAAATTGAATTTAAATAAATAATTATATGATATTAATTTTTACAAAGAAAAATGATTGAAGAATTAATAAAATAATAAAAATTATAATCAAATAAGACAAAGTAATTGTGTAATATAAAAAATAAAACATATTTACATTTAATATATTTATAAACATTTACATATTACATACATTAATGCAGTAAAACTAATTTCTTAATATTATTATTTATTATTATCATTTTAAATTAGCTTTTCAATTAATAATATCATTGGAAACTCAATAATAATATTATGAAAAATTATAGCATATTTTTTTGTGTAAATTTATAAAACTATTTGCAATATTAATATCTATATAATTATAATAGTAGTCTATTATTTTATTTAAAATAATTAATTATAAAAATTCAACTTTATTTTATGACAAAAAATAATAATGATTTTTATATTAAATTGTTATTTCCATTATTGCCTTAATTTTTAAGTAAGATATTTTGTAGAACGAAAATTTGAATATTTTATATAAACAATTTTAGATAAATATGAGTAAAATGTTTTAAAAAATAGAAATATATTTTAAATAATGCCAATTACTTATTTATCAAACACATATACATATCTATTTCACTTTAACTAAAGCTATTTTTTAATAAATTTTAAAAACTAGATAAATACTAATTTTCAACATAAAAACAAATTATCTCAAAGCAGTTGCTTAACAAATCTATAGTTAAACATTGATAAGCTTTAAGAGTTAATAGACTTTAAAATAGAGATTTAATTGTTGTTTCAATTTAATTTGTCTATTCTGTTCACTACTTTAAACTATTTAATACTAATTAATCGCTTACATAAAACACACATTTTAATTGATGTAAAATATGTTATAAAAATATTTTTAATTATAAAAAAATAATTATTTGTTTTTTAAATTAATATACCGGTTCAATATGAAGTATTGCACTAATTATATATTTCCTTATTATTCATAAATTTAATGGTTTATAACATTAAATATTTGTGAGTTTTCGTCTTTTCTTATTATTCTTATTATTATAAAACATAATAAGTATTATTAAATGTTATCATATAATATATATATATATATCGTAAAGTGTATTCATTAAAAGTTAGAATATTATATTCATAAAAGTAATGACAATATTTTATGAGACATATAAAGTATGCTTAAATATATACTAGTATATATATATATATATATATATATATATTAAATTATGTTTATACAGCGTATAAGTTACAGCTTATATTATATATCGTGAATTTTATAGATTGTATAATAACTTTTAACAAATCTTATTTTACTATTGTTATACTGTATTAAAATGATGAAATAAAAATTGGCTCAATTTTTGATGCGACATATACTATACAATTTATCAATATTATGTACAAAGCAAATAAATGTTTCTTTAAAATTAATTATTTAAAAAATATTCTATAATAATGTATATAAGTTAGTATTTTATTTGTATTTTATTTGTATTTTAAATAAATACTGTATTTTTGATTTCATTATTAAAAATCATAATATTTTGCTAATTAGCAAATGTTAATAATAAACTTACACATAAAAAACCTTAATAAACTAAAAAATGAATTTATTTAAAAATATTAATATTTTTATAAATCCAATAATGTTTAAATAATAATTATTAAAATAAACATTTAATTACTAAACTTTATATAATTAGCAATAGATTGTGAAAGATAAAAATAATAACTAAATATGGGATTTCTCTAATAATTATAGTGAAAGTTGTATAGATATATACTTTATCTTTCAAATAATCAAACACTGCTGTCATTGATTGGATACTAAATCATATAATGACAGTCCTTTCTATTGAGTATTGAGTTATAACTGATGTCATGCAGTAATGTGTTTAAACAACTGAATATAACTTCAAAGTATGTAATTAGTTTGAAACACATCATTATTAATTAATTTAGACATTAAATATAATAAGTTTTATATGTTAAACACAAATTTAAAAGTTACACTCATTATAATTAATACAACGCAAATTATTTAATATTTTTAATATACAGAAAATTAGATTTACAAATCTAACATTTATATATATTGTATTTAATAAATGTCAAAAATATGTTTTTAATTAAAATAATGTCAAAATATAATAAATATAACTAATTTTACTTTTAGACCTAACTTTAATTAAAACACTCTAAATCGCAATAATTATTAAATATAAATCAAAATTATTATTATTTCAATACTCAGATGCACTACAAATAATTTTATTAATATTACTATTAGTTAATTTTCTAAATACAATATTACCAAAAAAGATATTTCTCAGATTTTTATAATATTATAGTCAATACAGTATAATCTTTTATTTTAATAAATTTTATTTTCTTATTTACTATTAAAAATAAATTTATATTATCGTTTTAGTCATATTTGAAATATTTATAATTTATAATTAATTTATAATTATAAACCCAGATACTAGTATTAAATCCAATTATTGTAACTTTTGATATTTTTATATAAATTTTAGCATTTGTCAAAAATATTGCTAAATATTACTGTTAAGGTATATCTCATATTACTATATAATAATAATAAGTATGAGAAACAAAACTGTTTAAATATTTATTGAAATCATACTTCTATTCAAAAATATAATATAATTTAATTGATAAAAGCTATAAATGTTGTACAGTATTATATAACATATTAAATATTTGAAAATCACAAACTAATATTTAAATATCAAAAAATAAGTTATAACATTTCAACACAATTTGCTTTATAAAACACTCATTTATATATCAACTAATATTATACATTCAAAACATGTCTCACTATTCATACATATAATTTATCACTTATTAATATATATATATTATTTTAAAAGTAATATTTTCATATCAATTATTTATAATAATATATGTAATTGATAACACTATAAAAAACTTATACTAAAATAGTCAATTATTAAACATGTTATCCTTAAAACACACTTTACTGCACTTATAGATTAATCTTAATAATAAAATATTTATTCATGTAATATTGATAGTAACAAAATAATAATTATCATCAATAAAAAATGTTCATATAAATATTTAATATAAGTTTGCTAATTATTATTATTATTAATAATAATGTACCAGTAATAAATAAAAAGTTAATTATAAATATTTTAATTTTTATACTAATTAAATGCTGTTAAATACAAATTAAGATTAATCACAATAAATGTTAGATCAGATAATCTATGATAAATCAGAATTAACTAAAACAAATGTTAAATTATTTAGACATCTATAGGAAATTATTTTTCTATAGCTTATAAAAATATTCTAATATAAAACCATTTTAATTATATCTCTTATATATACTGTAATCAAAATTAGTTGCAGACAAAAATATATAACACATTTTACAGGAAATTTGTTTTACAATGAAATACTATTATTAAATGTATGATAATATCAATATATATATATATATATATATAGCATATATATGTGTATGTAGTAAAAATATCTCTATAAAATATGTGATAAAATATATTATCTATAGATACATTACTTAAAAAGACGTATTTATAAATATTATAGTATAAACTATATTGATAATGGTTATAACTTAGATGTAATAATAAAATTTATACAATTCCAATATAATGATCTAATATTTATATTTAAAATTATGATGATTTTATTTAATAATATATTCAAGAAATGTATTGTATGATTAAATTATTGTATATTTAAATAAAGTAATAAAATGACTTACACTTTATGACCTTTTAAATTGAATCACTAATATTACGTGTAAACAAAAAATATGTTATATTAAGTAAATCAATCAATATATAAATTTTGACAAAATGTAATGTTTTGTTGCTATTTTATATTAACGTCAACAGTATTGTCATACAATAATCATATATTAAATCGATGTTTATATTTAATATAATATTCAGTTTGCGTTTATTTTGTTTATGATTTACATTAGATATTTAAATATAGTCACAATTTTTGTTTTAAATATGATTTTAATTTTTTATCTTAACAAACCTAAGCATACATTATATCATTATAATAACTTGTTTAATATATATGTAATGAAATAAAAATTTAATACATCTGATAAACAAATACTAAAATTAAATGCAAATATTTTATAATAATTTAGAGAAAATAACATTCATTCATAAGATTTCATTTTACTGTATTAGAGTTCTGTCAAAATCCTTCCATTGTTTTATTTTCCAA